AGTTTGTTCTATTTCTGGGTTTGTTTGATATATGATTTTGTTTATGGAGCGATGTTTAACCATAAACTCCACTAAGCTCAGAAATAGAAGAAATAAGAACTCTTTATGTATATTTTTTTTTAATATTTTTTTGATTTTTCTTGAAATGAAATAAAAGAAAAATTAATTGCCTTTCCCCGGCAACGGCGCCAAATTTGACGTGCACTCGTCGTTAGGTGCACTCAAAATAATTAATCAATACAACACTAATACGTAGTATAGTGTAGTAAGGTTCGTATCCACAGGGAAATGAATACTTTTCTTTTATATAAATAATAACAAGGGGGGGTTAGATTTGCTTGGTTTAATAACACTAAGATAAACGACCTATATGAGTTTATTGCAATGAGATGAAGACTTGGTCTTGCTTTTATCCACTTAATGAAATGTTCGTCGATCCCGGTTATATCTTTAACTATCTTCCTCTCGAATACTCAATCGAGGAGTATATCCAGTTCATCGAGGGTAGTTATTAATAACGAGATGCTTTCATTAATAAAACTTACTATCGAGTCAATATAGAACAAGCGCCGTATATTAACTTGATAGTAGCAATAAACTTAAGATGAAAACGATTGAGATTGATAACCTCAACACAAGCGGTTTATTGGTTTAATCAATATAATTAATTCCCCTTGGCATATTAACCATGAGATGCATGCATTAATATTCCAAGTTTACTACCGTTGAAAGAACCGGATTAATAACAAGCGTATTAACCGATTGATTCTAGTAATAATTAATATGAGAAACAATACTAGTTGATACTTTAAGTAATGTTTAAGATATTAACATGAAATATGAATAGGAATTAATACTCAAGGAAGAATATTAAAATATATGAATCCTACTATGATTAATATCAAGATGTTAACTAATTGTCATCTTAGTAACACTCCCCGATATTATCATAGAGGAAGAAATAGCTATTACTATAACCAATGTCAAGATGTTAACTAATTGTCATCTTAGTAACACTCCCCAACTTTGATATAGAGATAGTATTTTGAAAGAAAGAATTAATATTCAAGGAAGAAGATTAAAGAAAAATAACTCACAACTTACAAATTCATTAAGCTTCAAAGTAGCAAAACCAAGATGGAAGAGTTTAGCTCCTCATTTGGAGACTAAACATGATGAAAAATATAAAGAAAGAGCTATTCTATACTGAGCTTAGATGTACAAAGGGATTGGATATCTTTTTGTGAAGGAAAGGAGGTGTATTTATAGGTTTTTGGGATGAGATTCGGGTACTCGATCGGGTATATACATGGTACCCGATCGAGTATGTGTGTAACACCCGATCCGAGGCATACTCGACCGGTTTCAGGCTATTTTCTAAGTGTATACCCGATCGAGTATATATGAATACCCGGTCGAGTATGCTTAGAAAGTGGTATTCGGGCTATACTCGACCGATCTTCGTTTGCAATTTAAAGGCATACCCGATCGGGTATGTCGGTCTACCCGATCGGGTATAGACATAGAATCGTGGTCAAAATCTTCCCTGCATGTTCCTTTGTCTTCGGATCTGATCCGATTTGAAGTTCCAACCTAATACCCGATCGAGTATAGCTAATACTCGACCGAGTATAGACCAAAATTCAGGATCTTCTTTTGTCTTTGAACTTTTGCACCTTCTCTTCACTTTTTGGGTTTACCAACTGTACTTTGGGTGACCAAAACCTGCTTAAGTTCAGAATATGTCTAATCTAATCTATTTACAAGAATTTAACAATCTAATCTATTACACCAAAAGTGTGTAATTTCCAAAGTAAAAGTCAGGCAAAACTAATTAAAAACATAAACATAGAAATGGAAATTACGAACGTATCAGTTATCTTAAGATATGTAAGGACCTGTACCAGGAAAGGATGCAATGGGGTTTGCATTCCCCGCTCCACAGACGCAACATGAGCTCCGAAGAATGCGCTTGAAGGAGGATTGGTGAGATTGCTGCTGCGCTCCGGAAGCACCAGGGTACAGTCACTACCGACCAAACGCTCCACCAACTCCAGGTCTTCTGCCATACTGGTAGGGTGTAGGCGTCCCAGCGTGTCGACATGCGGGAGACTCAAATAATTCGGGTCCCCGGCGTTATCTGACTCTGTCAATCCATCGGCCACCTGGGAAGCATTATCTTCATTGGACCGGGAAACCTCATCTATGGGGACAAGAAGGGGCGGCTGCCCAGGACTTCCCCGATAACCATCCGGAGCAAAGCGTAGATGTCCCTCCGAAATAACAATCCGCCTCGAAAGTCCACCTGCCCTGGAAGACGTGATGAGCTCCCGTCTATCGTCAGTGTTATTATTGGAGGAACCTTGGGTCCCGTCTATGGGTTTCCCAGACGCAAACGATTCCACAGGCAAGCTCCTAACCTTAGCTCCGGGCTCGGGTTCCCCATGCACGCCAACAGGTCGCGGCCCACCTCGCGTGTCATCGGCAAGCTGCACAGTCGTGATTGGCTGTAAAAAAACAGTCGCTCGTGCATCTTCAGTAGCAGGCCTGGCCGCACCTTTATTCGATCCAGTTCCATGGTCCATGCACTTCATAGGAACATGCCCGTCAACCTGCACGCACGAACAGTCCACCTTGGAATGGATATGGCCTTCTTCCGGGAACAACTTGGTTAGCTTAGTTTTCCCGTCGCTGGAGTTTCGTCGACCGCCCTGCATTTCATCTCCACCGGCAGTCGTATGGACCGACAGATTTCTCCTTTGGGATGGGGATTGACCGTCGGGATTGGAAGAGTTCCTACTATCATGATTCCCGGAGTTCCGCCCTCCATGAGCATGACCACGCATAGGATCCATACGGTCAGGGCGGACAGGTGGGGACGATGAAGGTTTGGCTTCCCGATCGCGCACAACCGGACCGAACGATCTCTGGTCACGAGGAGAACGGGGACCGGATCCGCGCGAACTTTTCCGGCGACGCAGTCCAGGAGATGGTGGCACAGACCTGTTCGAAGTTTGGGCTCTCTTTGAAGGTGACTCTGGTGGCGAGATACTAGGCCTTCTTCTGCGGCTTGAAGTGGGCAGCAGTGACAGCGCCATGGACTAGAGCCTGGATGAGGGCTGGGCGTATATGTGGCGGCTGGGTGCTGTGAACAAGAACACGTGCTCAGAAGTTTCTTTCTAAATAAAGAAGATAAGCAGCTGATTCTAATTAGGAAGGAGGAAATAATTAGCTTACCAACTGGATTAGGAAAGATTCTGATATCTTAGAGCCCAAGAAGGATCGCAAAAGAGGGTTTGATTTTTCCATCCGGGAAGTATCGTAACATGTGAATATTGGAGCCCAAAATTGAAGACTGTTGGCCCGAGTTGAGAAAACTGATGGAGAACGTTGTGTACCGTCGGGATCAAAGTATAATGGCCGATCAAGGCCCGGGGAGCTAACCTTCCTCTGTTTATTTTGAGGCACCGATGTACTCTTTTCCCTTCACTAGGATTTTTTCCCACTGGGTTTTTTCCTAGTAAAGTTTTTTACGAGGCATCCCCTTGTCAGAAACAGAGGAAGAGGTCTTCCCGGCTGGAGCAAAGAAGACCTCGGGCTGGTGATCAGATGACCAGAAACCGGGCTGCCACCCAGACAAGGAGGGTCTCATCCTTGCGCAGAACATGGGACCATAGTGGACAATTACATGACTGACAATTCCGGGCACACCGCAAATCATCATTATCAACGCACATCTATGTAACTAGCTAGATATCTTGCCAACCGGGCCGATTTCAAAGCAGCTCAACTACTCCCTTTTAGCCGAGTCTACTACTCAACTAAGGGAGTGGGGGACTCGTGTTGCGATAAGAGGAGCCAGGCCCAGTGCCATCGGCCCGATATCCCCGAGCTTAGGCCCAACTAGGCCCAGGACGCGGTCTCACGAGCGGGAATCGCCCCTTGCTCTTTATTTATTTATTAGGCCGGTTCGCCCATTAGCTAGGGGATGTATTATTAAGTTGGGCCAAGCCCATGTAGATTAAATTTTGGGCTTATGATGGATGCCTATAAATAGGCCATCCACCCCCCATGTATTCCCTACGTCACTTTTACTATATCGAAGTGCTGCCGCTTTCTCTCTCGAGCTATTTTCTACCAACAATATATATGACATATATTATAATAATCTCATTCGCAAGTCTATAAATGTCATTCCTAAGTACTTAAATCGCACAACTATGGCTATATCATGTCTTCTTAAACACATTCAATTCAACTGATAACACTTCATTCAATATGTAAAAAAAAAATAGTAACATATGGCACTAGGAACGAAAACCACACACACACCATTGTTCAAGCACTCCACACACAAAGACCACAACAATATGCAATTAATAGCAGAACAATGTCATTCCATACTTCAAATATCAAACAAACGTCTTCACTATTTCCACATATAGCATAATCATACGACATAAATTCGTACCAGGTCTCGCCTAATTTTTACTTTTTGGCCTGTTGATTCGAAGTCGGAATCCGCCATTTTACGCACTTCTCTGGTCGTTTTGCTATTACGAACTGCTTTTTGTCTTCCTATACTCTCACACTTCTGCGTATTTCTCTTTCTCTACCCTCACGGCTTCTGCGTATTTCCACTACTCTCACAGCTTCTGTGTATCGGAATCTGCCATTGAATGCTCTCTCAATTGACTCAACCGTCAAAAGCTCGACGTATTAATGTGGCACGATTTTTGAAAAGGAAACCCTTTACGCCGTACTATTAATTTCAAACGAATGCCAAGCTCAGGGTTCATTAAGGGTATTTAAGTCACAACATCTGGTTTTTGGTCTTACTGCGGTTGACGTTAAATAGAACTCCTATTAAGTATATTTTAGTCCTATGGGTAATTTTCTCTTTGGCTGAGGCTAATTGTGTCCGTGCGGAACATTCAGCTCCTGTTTTGGAATTTTGTCGTGTTTTAACTCTAAAATAAAATCTTTTCCTGGATCAAGTCACTTGAAACTTTGCGGCAAAATGGAGCTTCTCAAGCTATCACAATTCAAGGTCCAGCTTCATGCCCTAATATCCGACTTTCACGATCTCAAAGTAAAGCACTTCTTGAACCCAAATTTTCTTCATTCCCTCCAGACCCGAAAACCTCATTTTGTTTGCATTTAAACTTGCGTAGGTAAGAGAACGCCATGCTTCTGAGCAGCTCCAGCTTATGGTCCAGGTGGCTCATCTATATCACACTGTCTCCTTATAACATTTATCAGTGTAAGTGTGTTGAAGCTTTTCTGTGACAGAATCAAAAGCTAACCGAGGAAGAATTCAACGGGAAATTGGCTGCAGTAAACGCGGAACTGTATTTGTCGAATGAGCTAAGTCAGAAGCTAGACAGAAAGGTGATTGCCTAGTACATGCTTGTCGAAACGTTTCTTTCAATTCAGAGCACGTTACTGCAGTTTAATAGCACCGCATAATATGAACGTATGTAGGGGTTGTGTAAGTTGATGCTTTCGTGTCATCTGAATCTTCTACTTTTTCTATTTCAAACTATGGCAGCTGAGATGGCTACAAAATGACAATGATTTGCTTGAGAGCCAGCTGAAAGAGCTGAAGGGAACCATAAACAGCATTCTTGAATCCAGAAACAGTTTCATTAAGGCTTATGAGGTACCTTTGTTTGACTTTTCCCCCATTTAAATCTTTCATTTGGTTGAGAAATTTTATCCAGTTCATCATCTTAATTTGACTCGTTTGAGCTTTCCTGTTCTTCAGTTTCTGCCACTTTAAGTTTGCAGGGTTCTACGTGTGAAATGCGACGGGCTATCGAGTCCAGAGATAGAAAAATTGATATCCTTTCTGAAAAGATAAAAGCTCACTCCATGTGGTTCGCTTCAATTGAAAAGGAGGCTTCCTCCATCAGGCAAATAGTCGATGATGCACACAGTGTTCTGATTGCAAGAGAGGAAGTAGGCATGTACATTATTTGTGCATTGAAGGAAAGTTATTAGATGGATAGGGTCTATATGAGGGGCTGTAGATCATTCCAGCAAAAAAATGCGTAGTAAGGTTGGGGACTCAGGCCAAAGATTATAATGTCTAACCAGCCTTTTCCGACTTATAGAAAAACGGAAAATAAGACAATGAAAACACTTTTTGATGGATACTTTAAATTGATATGTATTGTTTTTATCGACATACTCTCTAGCCCCTCATATAGACCCATTCAATCCGAACATTTTTCATTGTTGATTATTTTGTTTTCATTCCATTTTGTTTCTTCTCCCGTCCAGTTGTTGAGTTAAGGAGTAAAGTTAATGAGGTTTCAACACTTGAGAAGCTGTTTCTAGGTACTTTTCCACCCACATATAATTGTTGAATCCAGGTCACATTCTTAGGTCATGATCCAATAAAACTATTTGTTTATGTAGGTTAACAGTTTGTTATGAATTATGATTGTCATCAATCCTTCAATGTAACAAATGCATGTTTTTTTCACTGCATATGATTTTTGTATGCCTATCATGTATATTTCTTTTTTAGAAAGGATAAATAACCTGGAAAGAGAATTGAGGAACAAGGAACTCGAGCTTAGGAAAAGGGACAAAACTATTCTGAATCTGGAGTGGCAACTTGAGGCAGCAAATCTAAAAAGGAACTTCCAACCAAAGATTGAGGAGATATCCATACAAGCAGACCTTCATATTAATTTGTCATATCTAAATAATGGACTTTCCTTATGCCCCTTTAAACGATGAGAGTTTTTTTAAATCTTAACTAAGCATACCTTCAGCAAGATCTGTCAGTGAAGGAACTAATTATTCAGAACTTAGTGTCACAGAACAAGGTCTCAGCACTTCGCCATTTCGTGCCCTGTTTGTCTTTCATTTCGTCACTTTTATTTACCAATGGATACTTCTTGATACATATACTTGATTGTCAGGAGTTACACTTTGAAGTGGCCACTTTAGGTGTGCTCATGAAGAAGATACAAGATGGTCTCTCAAGTATGAGTGAAAGGGTTAGATGTTTATTTTGTTGAAAAAAACTCCATCTGGTGCATGAAGTGCTTGTGTCATACTACGTATAACACTTCATGTTCATTTTCTTTAATCAATTGGAAAGTGTTTTTTATATTTTCCCAGGACAGAAAGATTTTCTCTCCTGTGTTTGAACATCAAGAGAATGTTACTATTGGAAAGGAAGAGGAAGCTTTAAGGTATATTACCTTTTGTCCCCAAAAAAGTCATACTTATAATACTTTTTTTAGTATTACAAAGATTACTCTTTTTGGGACGGAGTTAGTACATACTTCCACGCTTTTGTATGTGCTCATGTGTTAATAGTTGACATTCTAATCTATTCAACAAAAAATGTTGTTAGCTTGAACTTAGTTTTGAATGTGGATCTTTGAATGAGAATGTTCTCTCAGCAAAGGAAAGTTAGCTAATGCGAGTGTGCATTTATCAGATCAAACTAATGAATAGTTGAATTTATCTTACATTATTTTTTATCTATTCCTAGAGGATAGACATGTTGAATATTTGTAGTATCCATTTTCAATTTAGTAATATTCAAGGCTTGGGGGAGAAAGGTGAAGCTCAAAATGAAAAAGCAAACTTTCAAGACAAGTCTTTGGTCACAGAGGAAACCACGAGTAAGTCCTTTCATTTAACTTTTGCTTTCTTATCAATCTACGACTACATCTGCCTTATTTAGATAGAAACTCATCTTATCACTAACGTTTCATGGCATCTTTAGCTAGCTGGCTTGCATAAATTCATATATGTAATCTGTGTCACAGTGGTGTATAACTTCCCCGTCTTGCCTTAAGTAACAGTTCCTTCATCATTTCTTTGGCATGCATTAGGATATATTTGGATCCTGAAAAGTGCTGTCGGGAGTATAAAAAAGTGTTTAAGAAAAGTTATTTTCTTTTGTTCAGTTTTACTTGGAGAAATGAAAAGTAAAATGAAATATAATTATTTCTTAGATTCTTTAAACATATAATTAGATATCTTAGGTTTTACATAATAGACATAAATAATACAATCAGTGGTTTGCTACATTTTGTAAAGCAGCTCTGCCTGAATTTGATGATGGTAAGAACTCATTGAAGAAGAAGGTTGGGGTACTCGATTCCTTTGCATCTGAGGCAAGTTTATAGTGGTAGTTTTTAAAAAAGGAGAAAACGAAAATCGTATTAGTTCCTGCAAATGATTTGAAAATATTTCACTCTTGGTCTTCTGATTGTTTGGTCATTTCATTTTTTGTTCCCTGTTCCTGACTACTGTATAATTTTTTTTCCATTTGCGGCGCACCGCTTCTAATTTCTGGTCATTTTCAGTCATTGTGATTACTTATCCGGGACAAAGAAATTACCTGTAAGGAAGTTGGTCCCATATAAGTGACCGGAAGGAGCAAACATAGAATGAATCCATTTTAGTGCACCAAAGATGGAAAAAGTGAAAGTCAGTGACCATAAGTGAAAATGATCTAATAGTAGTTCACCCAGAATGGAATATTTTTAACTAATTATTATGTGAAAAACATTGCAGTCTGTTGGCTCTTCTTCTTCTGAATCAGCCAACCAGGAGTTGCTGAAAATCAATTAAACTCGCCAAGAGGTTATATGTGGATTTCCACACCACAGTAGGCAGGCCTGTCATCTAAACATGCTGTGCTGATAAATAGCCTAGATAACAGAAGCTTTGTCGGGCATGAAGATTTTATAGGTGCAAGTGGGTTGATGATGATGATTATTGTTATTATTATTATTTCTATTATTATTTTTCATTCCGTTGTTATGAATACATTTCTAAGATTATGGAACTTACCCAATGCACAACATCATAATTTGCGTGTTGGTCACTTAAACTCATGTACTTACGGTCTGTTTGGATGGAGTGTTAAAATGTGTTAATAATGAAAGTGTTAGTAAGTGTTGGCAGGCCTCCTCGGAAAACAAGGTAATTGTAAGTGTAAAATATAAACTTACCTTGTTTGAGTGAGTTAAAAAATGAAGTGTTAATAACATAAGTGTTTTCAATTAAATTGACAATAATATCCTCATCTAAATCATAATACCAAAATAACGTTGAAGCATGGAGTATTGGAGTTAGAGGTGGACTCGGGCCAGGTGGTCCGACCCGGAACCGGCTCGGGACCGGTACTGTTCCGGCCCGGCCTGGTGGCTGGCCAGGGACTGGTCCGGGTAGGCCCGGCCCGGTGGTTTTACGGTGCGGGCTCGGGTCCGCCAAATGATGAACCGGCCCGGTTCCGGGCCTTTTCTTTTCTTTTTTTTTTTCAATTTTTTTTTTCAGGGTTGGGCTGGGTGTTTTGGGCCATTTGGGGTGGTTTGGGGGGGGGGGGGGGGTGAAGGGGGTATTAGGGGATTGATTAGAAAATAAAAAAAAGGAAGTGGCCCGAGGCCCGGCTCGGCCCGGACTCGGACCGGACCCGGTGGCTACCCGGGCCCAACTATTCTGAACCGATGGCCCGCCCGGGCCTAGGCCCGACCCGGCCCGAGTCAACCCATAATTGGAGTTGCAAGATTTTGCGCATCAGAAATTTTTGAGCCATCGTTTCTTCAACGTGGATCATTATTATTCATAGTGATTGGGCGATTAATTAGTACGTGAAGTAGATGAGATGAAGAGTGAAGTTGAACTCATAGTTCTCGACCAATCAACCTGAACTCGGGTGGTGTCTCTTCGTGCTGGTGGATCCGGTTCCGATGCGGTCCCTGTTCCGGTCCCGTGAATGGTGAAGCCCGAATCGTTCCCTATTTTATCGGTCTTGGTCTGATTTGGGCGGTTTTGATTTCTTTTAAATTTAGTAAAATTAATAACAAATGCTACACATTAAAAATAAAATATAGATTTATTTGAAACACTAAATTGACTTAAATATTAAAAATTTATCAATTACAATTTATAATTGAGAATAGTTTAAATACTTTTTCTAATTGTCGGAAGTCCCATCAGAAGTCAGCGTAGGTTGTCGTTTCCTCCATAAAGTGGCGGTCCAGTGCTATGTTAATGTCTTGAGTTCTATGATGAGTCTTCAACCAATCGTGAAAACAAATGAGTGTCTTAAAAGATGGCACGCTCAACCTCGTCCCTAATCAACTAGCATAGTACCGTGCATACGCACGGAAAAAACAGTTGGTCTATATATTTTTTTGTTCATGATCTGGTTAAATATAAATATGGATTTTTTTACACTTTTACACATTTCTAAAATGAAGTACAATAAGTGAATATAAAAAGTATAAACCCATACAATAAATATTCAAAGTAAGAGACAATTAAAGTTAAAAAATCAACACCATCCATTAGAATTTGCTACGTAATACTTGAATAATTAGTATTGGTGGTAACGGGTGATAAAATATTGAACTTAATTGTTAGAATTTTGAAAAACTACTTTAAAGAGAACTTTTAATTGTAATATCTAATGATTTTCTTTCTTATCACGTATTAAATTCATCAATCAATATTTTCTCCCTCGATAACACCACATATATAGAGCTTTACATGACTAAAATACGTCTAGGTAAGAAAATTTCATTTTTTCAGTGATAGAGCTTGATATGTATGGATTGTCATAACATAAGCGACAATTATAGGAAAATGTCTTCTCATAAGTTTAAAAGGTCATGAGGGAGAAAATATGAGAGAGAAAGTTATCAGCTCAATTATTATTAGCACAATTATCTTCTCATCATCATCATCATCATCATCATCTTCATCATCATCATCATCATCATACTTAAAAGCACTACATATGAGAGAGAAAGTTTTCCCGCTCGAATATTAGTCTGCTTATCTTCTTTTTATTATACCCAAAAACATTACATATGAGAGGGAAAATTCTCTCGCTCAATTATTAGTTCGTTTATCAATACCAAAAAGCACTACATATGAGAGAGAAAATTTCCGCTCAATTATTAGTTCGTTTATCTTCTTATACATAAAAGTACTACATATGAGAGAGAAAATTCTCTCGTTCAATTATTAGTTCACTAACCTTATACTTAAAAGCACTACATATGAGAGAAAAAATTATTCCGTTCAATTATTAGTCTGTTTATGTTATACCTAAAATTACTATATACGAGAGACGAAATTCGCTCACTTATTGGTCCGCTTATCTAGTCTAGTATACCTAAAAGCACTACAATTTAGAGAGAAAATTATCTCGCTCAATTATTAGTGCATTTATCTTGTTATACCTAAAAGCATTATGTATGAGAGAGAAAGTTATCTCGCTCGTTTATTAGTCTGTTTATCTTATACAAAAAACAATACATATGAGAAAGAAAATTTTTTCGCTCAATTATCTGTTGTTCCTAACCTTATTGAAGTTGATATCTACCTATTTGAAATGTTACATACTAATAATTAAATAATAAAGAAATATAATGTTGTAAAGATAGAGTTGCATCATGGTCGGTTTGCATTCTCAATTGGAAGTTATGATGTACATGATTGTGGATGACCAATCAAATATGTGTTTGGATATTGTAGTGATTACTTGCTTTAAGCGTCAAACACACACAAATGAGGGAGGGTGACCGTGTAAATCTTCCTGACGGGACTACGGTAAGGTATACTTTGATTTTTGTTAAAAATGAATTTTTCACATTTTACCATTGATGTTATTTTTTAACAATATTGATACGGAGTATTTTTCAACAAAACATTTTTGCTTTCAAGGGTGATATGATTCTCTAATGATATTATTTCCCCCGATGATATTCATATGTGAAGTTTCATATTTTTACCAATAGAGTAATATAACATTTGATAATATTGACATTATGTTAAACACTGTGACATTTTTCATCAAAAATGAAAAGAAAAAAACAAATTGTTATTTTCCAGGATTATTACAATGCAAATAGTATTTATAAAAACATCTGTTTTTTAAAGTGTTGCAAGTTTTTTAAAGTTTTTAGCTTTAGTGTATTGGTTTAATGCCTATACACATTTTTCTTACTTCTGTTTTTTTCATGGTACCATGCCTATAAATAATTCATTAATGTGATAAATAAATCCATACCATTTTGTCATCTATGAGAACCTCCTTTACTTGAAACTGATCATTCAGACTCTCATTATGTCCATCTATAAGCGTCTGCTTTTCCTGCAATCACAACAGTTTCATAAAGATGAAGTCAATAATTTCCTAAATTCAGTCATTAAATAGACATTAATCTAACAATTATTATAAGACTGCGTACCCTAAACAAATCACCTCGTTTCCTATTATCTTCTCTGTTTGCCTCAAATCTTTAATGAAATTTGTGAAGACAATATTGACATGCATTTGTAGCTCCTCACTATTGATGCTTGTTTGAGTTGGCGCCTCAACTTCTTCACACATCAAAACGTCTTGATTTTGAGCACACATCGGCTCTGCATCATTATTATCAACCCATTTATGAAGTTGACTGGAATATCATTACCAACTTCATCTTCTTCACCCTCTTCTTTCTCTTACCCCCTCGGTTTCTTTCATTTCCTTCTGTGTGTCATCAAGATGGAGATAAAAAAACTTGGCGTATCCATATACGATTAGAAGAATCGTTTTTTTCAGGATGCAGTTTCTTTCCCATTTTGCTTTCTGGCTCTGTGTGAAGACCATTGTTTAAGTCTAAACCCCTTTTGTTGTTGTCATCTTCTTCATATTCATCATTTATCTTAAGAAGTGATCGCAACATTTCAGATTGTTCCCTTTGCCCATTTAGAAGCTTTTGCATTCCATATTCAAGCTTTTCCATTATTTTCTCAAGCTTCGGTGTCTTCTTTGATTAGGGCACAAGAACAACCGTTAAGTTACGCAGTATGGTGCTCTCTTAGTTCATTGCCAACACCCTTTCTTCTCTTAAACATGTGATTTAAATTGTTAATTCCATGGTGACCTGCATGCTCAGAGTTTTGGTGTTTCATGTCTTCATGCCCTTAATCACTGACTTGATTGTTTTCAGCTTCAAAATGTACATGTTTTCCTTCACGAGTCTTCCCATCTTTTCTATTTTCAACTTCATTGGCTTTCACAAAATCCTCTTTCTTGTTTCTTGACAAAGAGAGACGACTTTTTCATCAAGGGGTTAGGCATTTTGTCCGCATAAAATGCCATTATCATTGGATTTTGAAGCCCCTCTTCTGTTGAGCACATTTTCTAAAATTCAAATTGCATCAAAGAATTGTTATAATATAAATTAAACAATTTTCAGTCAATAAATTAATATAATTATGTGGTAGCAAATTAATTTATAAACATTACCTATTTGTTGTCAAATATGTTGTCAACAAGTGTTGTAACACAAGTTTTTTTGAGAATTGACCATTTCAGAATTCTTGGCCACATTGTTTTCCCGTCTTCTTCAATATTGCACACATTTGTCTTCTTAAGCACTGTGAAACTATCAAACGCCCATATTTGCAATGCAAAGCTAAATTCTGGAAATCCATACCTATTATTTTTTGCCCTTTTAATGTTCTTAATTAGTCCACTTAGGAACCTTTTCGATCAAATTTTCCCAAGTTTCATCGCCCCACCATGGATATTCATTCACCAAATTTAGATTATGTACCATATATATATATGATATTGAAATGTGCAGAATAAAAATTTAAACTTAAGTGTGTATTAGGTGAAACTGAAATGTGCGGAATAAAAGGTATAAAACTAACATCACACCGTACCTTTTATTCTGCACATTTCAGTTTTACCTAGTGCACATTTCAATTTCACCTAATGCACAATTCAACTTCACATAATGTCACTGTATCGTACCCTTTGTGTTGCACATTTCAATTTCACCTAATGCACATTACAGTTTCATCTAATTCACATTGAATTTTACTTAAAGCAAATCTAACGGTCCAGATTCATTCTCATTTCTATCCTAAGATCATGTTCTTATTTGAACCAAAACATA